CCTATATAAACTTTATAGTTTTAGTACCTCATTTGTAATATAATTAACCCATACGACATCTTTGACAAAGAAATTATATATATAAATAAAAGATATTATATTTTTTTTTCTGCTAAGAAACTATATATATGCTTGACTTCTAAATAGTGTTTGAAAAGACCTTAAGAAACTTGTAAAAATGTGGCAGAAATAATCGCCAAGGTGCAACCACGGTCTCATTACAACCAGCAAGGTGGCAAGACTCCCTCAAAGGTGCCTAAATGGTCTTCGGAGTGCTCAGGACCACAAGAACAAAATAACTGAATCATTTGGTCAACGTATAAATTAATTCAACATTGATGCCTGAGGTGGGAGAAACATTTGAAAAGTCATACATATTTGATTCTGTGGCACATAGCAGAAACTATAAATGTATATAAAAAAAAAAAAAACTTTGATCTTTCAAATAAATTAAACAGTTTTATGATCTCTATTAGAAAGATTTTGGATGAATTTCAGTGGATTAATCTGACGTTAAAGAAAAAAGAAGACATACGAGGTCAAATTCATAGGTTCATGTAAGACCTGCATACATTTAGCCAAAGCAGTTTGACAAACTGGATTGGTTCCTGAAATTATGGGTTTAATCATTTTGCGAGAAAGTGAAATTAACAGCTTTCATGTTAGGAGTTAGAAATGAGAGTGTTTGAAAAGGATGTATATTATTAAACAATTTTAAGTTGTTGTTACATTATATGTTTAGACTATCATTTTTTTCAAAGATGATGCAATTCTGATAAAATAGAGTTATGAACAACAGAGATTATAAAAATATTGATAAGCACGCGCACCACTGAGTCTGACATAAATAGATATAAAATCATTAGTTGTTAATTTTGAAAATGGACAAGATTGAAGGAAGAAGAATCAAAGGGAAAATCAGATGCTCTTGTTGAGGGAGTGTGGTATAATTAATTTATAAGGATATTGTGGTCCAACAAAACAGTGTTATGATGAGCTCCAAGTTGAAGAGACCAAAATGAGGTATGAGTCTTGGTTTATCTTTGGCAGAATATGGTAATCACTTGACAAAACTATAGAAAAGACGCGTGTCCCTGTCATTAACTTTAGCTATCATCATTAGTCACTAAGTAATGGGAGAATTTCGAAGCTTAATAAAAGAGAATGTGAACACACTTTCGGGGGTTTGGGGCACTAAAACTAATCAGCACTTTGGGATCTATTGGTAAGCAAGGATTATGTATGTTTAATAAAGTATGTCTTCGTTATCTGAAAACGACACTTGTTTTTGTATGATTTTTATAATCATAAGATATGTATGGGTTTTACTTTATATCAATTGGTGCCTTTTCTTTATTTTAATATTATCAAATTGATGTAACTTGAACCTTTTTTTTATTTGGTAAAACACCACAAATCATTAGCAGCCATTTTCCATTTCTTTTGCCATAAACATTAAACATGGTTTAATTGATTCTTTAATTTAATTTAATTGTGGGTTTCAGGTACAACTTGAGATTATTTTTTACCTAATATTAAGATCAATATCAATGATACTATATTATAGCAAAAATCAGACTGACACATGTCTTATTAAAAAGACTAATTGCAGTAGAGAAGAAACTAATTTTCAAACTGTCATTTGTAAATTGAATTTTTGAAAAATAAAGTTTACTTATTTTTCGTTCTTAACTTTTCTTGATACCAGATATTCGAAAGACTCTTTGATAAATCGGAATGAGAGTGAAGAGGAATGAGTCACACTCAAACGCGTCATAACAAACATGATGAGTAAACAGTTAATTTAATCTCTGAAATTATCATAATTGGTTAAATTAATCTTTTTAACATTATTAAGATAATGTATAACGTTATATATTATTAATCAATGTAATCTTAAAATTTGTAAACAGATTAAAATCCATTAATCATAATAAACATAAATAAAATTTCTAAACAGACAAAGGGATAAAATCATTAATCAATACTTTAAAATTTAACTCTATTTTTGGATAATAAAAACACTATTTCTTTATTTTCACCTCCTTTTATAAGGAAGTGTGTTGGAACATCCTCAATTATGTGAATACAACCTCTATCTTGTCCAAATTAACAAAATTTTCTTTAGAGCAGCATCAATGCATAAGAATGAATAGAAATCATTCTCAATACTGACAGATATAATAAGTAGGGGAGCTGAAAAAAATTATTGAGATCCAAAATTTAAAAATATACATATTGGTATATTACTTTATTCACATTTTATAATATATATTATTTAACTCTCTTTTTTTTTTCAAACAAAATTCTTCAAACAACTAATCATTTAATAATTTTACATAAGTTTTTTTTATATTCATGCAAATTTTTTGTCTTTGAAAATTTTCAATATTTATTTTTAGTCTTTGTAATTACTTTTCCTTACAAAAACGATTAACTGACAAAAGAATAAAAAGAAAACACTTGAAAATTACATGCAGAAAAACACTAACTTTTTTGAGGAACTGCAAGTGAAAATCAGTATAATTAGAAAGAACAAGAGCAAATATAAGTTTCAATAAAAAATTAGAAAAACTTGTGATGAAAAAATAACTGTACCTATTACATGACATTACATTTCCCTCCTACACACAAGTGACGTACAATACTATTAATCAAACATGTATAAAAAAGTTTTTTTTTTTTAACACACAGTTTAAATTTTATTATTAATCATCATTTTTAAAATTGGACAAAATTAAAGACTCAATAGCGCTCTTACACAAGATGTTTTCCGAAATGGTGATGAGATAAAAAAAACAGTCGATTAGTAAAAGCAGCCCTAAAACGATAAATAAAAGTTAGCTTTAATAATTTATTTTAAAATACTTTTATTTGTATTAAATTTAAAATATTTTTAAATTACATATATTTAAATATTAGACATCGATATAAATTATTTCTAATGGTTTACTTCTGTGTGTGTGTGTATATATATATATAAATTATACTGGTAACTTATAATTTTTATAAATTTCTATTCTTTACGACTTAAAAATTAAAATTATTAAGTTAATTTCCATCGGTTTAATCACTTTTCTTTCAACAATTCAGGTGCAAAGACCCCTTTTTTTCCATAGTATGGACATCACATCACTTATCTTATGAAATGCACTTGAATCATGACACGTTGAGATGCTGAATTTAACACACACAAAAAAAACATACAGATATATTTATATAAAAAAAATGTAACTTCATGTTTTTTATTGCATCAAGATGTGTGGAAAAAAGAAAGGAACCACCCAAGTCCTATTAAAATAGAAAAATCTTTTCATCAATTAATTTTAATAAAATCTGTAATTAGTTGTTCCAAAACATTATGTCGGGCCTTCCTCCATCTACATGTTATTTGTCCAACACTCGTGTGGGGACATTGAAATTGTGTATCACCCTCAATTATAACAAAATTTACCAGTAAAAGGTTCCAACTTCAACTCGAATATAGTAGTGCATAGAGTTAAATACATATTGACTTATTTTATGGGTAGTAATTTATTTATTAAAAATGTATGTTGCATGAAAAAACACGCAATTTCCTTGTGCTCGTGAGATTAATTATCTTGTGAATGAAGAAAATATAGAAATGAATGAATGATGAACATCGTTTACTTGTCTTCGTTTATTCCTTATGCTTTACGGTGAATGGCAATTTCAACCTCCGCACGAGTGCAATAATGAAGGTGTTGATCTGGAGAATCCAAATACATAAAATAGAAAGATGAAAGTCAACACGGACTAACATAGAAAAAGAATATTATAATTGAATATATAGCTTAATTAATTTGAAGAGCACATGAGTGATAAGATTCCTCTCTGCGGTACCTGAACAGGATGGCTCTTGCAAAGTTGTCATGTTCTAGCAAGTAGCCATAGGAAGGTCGGAAGAGGAGAACAGTGGTTGTGTTGTGCTGACACTGTTTTTACTTTTTAGCAGTATTCATTTATTTTTCTTTATATATTACAAACCCTAGCTTAAGGGTTTTTACTGTATTCTCGTGAATGCTTAAAATCATTAGTCAAAATTTAAAAATCATATTAAACATCAGTAATGGAAGTAATTTGGTTTTTATGGTGGAATAGTTCACTGTATCTTTGTGATGATAGCTAGTAAAGTTTTTACATATATATAATGTAACTTGTAGAACATTAATTGGCAAGAATGGACACCTGACCAAGCTAATCCAAATTTATTTAATGTGCCCTATCTCCTTTAACCAAACCAGTTTTCTATTCTCATAGAACTGAACAATTTTGTCTATTACAGCAAAACATGGGTTGTAAAGTCAATGGTGAAATGTTAGCAAAGTTCTCCTACCATATTAAACTATTTCACACAAGTAATTAAAACATGGAAGAAGAAGAAGAAGAAGAAAGTGAAAGCAATACTACACAGTGGTTCCGTGATATATAATGAAAGTAAAGGAAAATTACAAGAGTTGCATGTGACTTTTCTTTTATTATATTAAACTGCTATGGGACCTCATATTCTCTCTCTCTGTCTGTCATCTTCAATTTACACTTTACACATTATAAATTTAAGAGCGCTAAAACATGTACACCCATCATAACTTCTTCTGCTTTGCTGGCCCATGTGAACTGTTTTTAGTGTTAACGATCTTTACTCTGATCCCAGTTCATGGCGGCCGGAATGTGACCCACAACTCCAATGATCTGCTTTTAAGCTGGCCCATGATCAGAAAGTGTGTCAGATAGGTACCTTGTGCACCACCATGCTTTTAGATGGGTCATTATTAAAGAATTGAATTTTATAGTGCAGGTGCTTGTGGCATACCCTTTAGTGTGTATCTGCCATGACAACCTTTCAGTGACATCTCCTAACCCCAAATTGGAAATTTCAAATTAAATCAAATTAAATAATTAAAATCCCCAAAAAAATTCAATTAAAATCAAAATTAAAATTAAACTCTCCATCCAATCAGAAACTTCCTTATCTTGTCTCATTCAACTGTGTCCACTGATGAAAGTTTATTTGTCGCAATCTCATAACGGCTACCTCCTTCATCTTCCACACTCTCTAGATCTCCCTCTTCATTACCATCGTCTTCTACTTCATCATCTTCTTCCTCTTCCTCCTCTCTTTCTTTTCTCACGTATTCACTTTCATTGTTCTCCTTCACTGCACCTTGTTCGTATTGGGAGGGAGGTCTCCACTGCTGCTCCGGTTGCACCATCAAGGGCTCCATCATCTCATGTGGCTTCATGTTGAGGAATGATGCGCCAAAGGGGTTCTGATTTTTGCTCTTTTCTTTGTATAACGCATCGAGTTCATGAAAATAGGGACATGTCTTACTATCCTCGCGCCTATGCTTGTTGCTTTCCTTGACTTTCTTGAAGTACTTGTTGATGTTCTCCCATTTCTCTTTGCATCTCTTGGCACTCCTGTTGTATCCGAGCCTCAACATTCCTGCTGATATGTCCTCCCACAGTGGAGCCTTTGGTCCATTTTCTTGGTACTGGGTTTCAAGACTCGTCCTCAACCTTATCAAAGCATGAACTTCAGATTTTGGCCACCTAGAAGAAGATAAGGAGCTCAATGAAGTAGGAGTAGTAGCAACAACGGAAATAGCAGTTGTAGGAGTAGCAGCAACGGCACTGTGACCATTATTCATTTTCTGAATTTCAATATTGTTATTATTTGACATCACAAATGGTGTTTGTGGTTGTGGAGATTGTTGTTGCGGTGGTTGTACTTTCGATACTTGGGTTGGAGGTGGTAGTGAATGTGGTTGTTGAAGGAAATTGGCACCGGCTTGTGTTGTGGGGTTCTGGTTCTGACCAGATAACTGTTGCAGAAAAGCAATGACTGCTGCATTTTTCGCTGCTGCCGTTGATCTTTCTTGGACAAGAAGTTCATGTTCTCTATTAATCCTTGCCATTTCTTGGATCCTCCAAGCCTCTTGTTGTGCCACGTGTTCTCTCTCTCTTTTGTCTATGGCTTCGAGGAACCTCTTTTGCATTTCCTCTTGCTTGGCCAGGACTTGCCTTGTGAGCCTCCTGAAGTAGTCCTTCCACTTTCGCTTCTTTCGGTACTTCTCTTCCAAGTCTTCATCCGAGGCCGTCGATGAAGAGGTTGAAGTGTTGGAGAAGAGGTTATTCATGTTGGGCAAAGAGTAAGGGGTGTTATGGTTATTGTTGTTCGGTTGAGGAGGCTCTCTAGGATTGGTTAGTATTGTTGGAGAACTGATGGTGGCTGTGGTGGTGGCATTCGTAGGTGGTGGTGGTGGTGGTGGCAGTGGAGAGGGAGATATTGCTGTAGGGTTTGTGGAGGGAACAGTGGTGGTGTCATAAGAGATTGTTGTTGTGTCACTAGGTCTTGTTGGGGGAGGTAACAAGGCAACCGTGTTTGTTGTTGTCAAAGTGGGTTGTGGTTTTGGCGGGTAAGAAACAGTGAATTGGTTCTCAAGGGCTTGTAATTGATCGAAAAACTTATAGTTTTTGCCCTCCTGTTTCCCACTTCTACTCTCTTTGGTTCTTTTATGGTACTTGTACACATTCTCGAATTTCTCCTTGCACTTCTTCGCGCTTCGGTGGTAACCCAGTTCTGCTAGTTTCCTACACACATATATAAGGAGAGAGGGAGAGAGAAAGAAAGAGAATGATCAAATTTTATCATCGTTGAAAGTTGGAAACAGTGAAGAGAAACAAAAAATAAAGCTACTTCTTTTCACGTAAAGAAGGGTAAATTTTTAGACGGTTTTGCAGTGCTATTAAAAACATGATGGTAGTTAATACCTAAAAGAGCACCGAAAATATTATAAATAATATAAGACGGAAAAAGATCAAATGAATGGCTGAAACAAAAAATTATGAAGATGATAAACTCAACAAATTTGATTGAGCAAATCCTGCATAAACTGACAAATTTAAGTCACAGCATGATTATATGTATTCAGCACAAGATTGAATTAGAAGAATTTCAGACACGACGGTATAATCTTATTAATTAATTATTATCTTATATGCAAACATAAAAATATAAATTTTAAGGTATCCCCGTTCCATCCCTCCCAATTGGTTTATAAAAGAAAAATCCAGTGACAGAAAATGGGTTTAGAAAACTGATTGGTTTGCAAATTGATAAAGAATTCATAAAATCTTCATGCATGATCTTGAAGAAGCTAGCTAGAGCTTCCAGCATATATACATGGTCTCTTAAAAACGAGAGAAGATAAAAGCTGCAAAGACGAAGATAGAGAAGCTGACACACTAAAAGGAAAGCAAAAGCAAGAAAATAAACATACATGAGTAATGAATCCAGTTAAATCCATACAATTTAATTTTTGTTGTGTATATATGTATATGTGTGTACCTTGCAACTTCTTCCCAAAGTGGACCCTTAAGACTTGAATCACGAAATACAGCATCCATATCCGACCTTATCTTCAAGAGAGCCAAAGTTTCTTGGCGGGGCCATCGGTTTCCACCGCATGAGTTGCTGATCTTGTCACCTTCTTCTTCTAAACCACCCTCTTTTCCCTTCTCTTCACCGGAAGCTGCATCCATCATAATCACCTCGCCACCGTCATGCGCCGCCACAGCCTCACCGGAAGAGGTTTCCATGGGTGTGGTGTCTCCAAGCTGCATAGAGAGATGTCCCTAGCTAGCTAGCTAGCTAGCTAAGCAATTACAGCTTGAGAAAAAAAGGGAATATATCAGAAAACAAAGGGAATAGTATAGTCTCTCAGGGGTTTTATTGTGCGCATGGAGAGAGAGGATGCTTTTGTGGGGGTGAATAGATTTGTTTATTTTTAGGTGGTGGGATCTGTCAATTTCATCATAGAAAAATGCAAATATTAACCTTTAATTAAGCTCGCTTAACTTTTCTTTGCTGTATCTCTGCATAATTATTATTGTTCTGCTTATTTTAATTTTTATGATTAGGGCTGTGGAATCTTCTCTCATTTTTTATTTGTATTTTTTCATGGTGTTGCCATGGATTCAAAAAAGAAACACAATATTAGAGGAGTCGCTTTGGGTTCTCTTATGTGTGTCATACGTAAGTGCTGGAAAAAGCAAAAGAAAAGCTAAGGGATAAATTATAACATGGATCCTTTAAAGGGAAAAATAATAATGATAAAAATGGAAAAGATAATAATATTAATATTATCATTAATATTAATATGCGTATATGATGCATATTTACGAAAAAATTAAATATATGAAGTAGTGGGAACAGCCTGCAGATAGGGACGATGTAGATGATAAGTTGGGCCATGTAGGTCAGCTTTGCTAATTTGGGGCTTTTGGATTTCAGCAATTTGCAATTACGTCATTGCCCTTCAGAAGGATATCATTGACCTTTAATTACTCACATTTATACAACTCCCAATCCCAAGTTTCCTTTAACAACGGTATAATGACCTTAGCCTTCAGGGTATGCTTTCAATGGTTTTTGTACTTATCATTACCTGCTTTTACCACATCCCATTAAATTATAAATTTGTCTAAACCCCCTTTAATCATAGCCATTTTTTATCATGAGTTTAGTAAATTACTTAACAAGGATTATTTTTCAAATATGTTAAATTAATTTCACAATATAATTTTGAAAAAAATATTTTTTTAACACGTAGGACATTGGAATTTTAATGAGCTTCGAGTTTATAGTTAAGAAATACTATTTACGTGTTGTTAGCAAGTGGTCTAAGAAAAGTAATTAAAATTGAGTTAATGTTTTAGTGAACACTCTATATTATTTTGTGTATTGATGCGTATCATTTAAAGGAAAATCGTTAGTATTATACTAATTTTGATATAGTTAGTTGATGGAGATGAGTTAATTATGTTTTAGTATGAGATTAATTAATTAGTCTTGGTTAGATAGATGGTAGAAGTAGGTCACTTTGCGAAGGCAAAGACCATTTATGAAGGGAAGTAACCGGTGACAAATTCAGTTAGCTACAACCTAACACAATAAATAGAATGAATTTTTGGATAACTAAAAATCTTGAAACTCCACATGTTTCACCAATTATTAATTTTTTTATTTTATTAGGGACCATCCACAATGGTGCGTACAATGAGGTGACTGTACGTTCAATTGTTATCACTAACTATGTGGAGTTAAGTTATTGAGTCAATTCTTCCTTCTTCTTTTTTCTTCAATGTGAATAAATGTCCAATTAGATATTGGATGTAAAAAAGGAGAAGCTGATAAAGTGAGCTTTATTTTTATATTTTGTATTTTTTGGATCTAAGACTTCACCATTAACTTGTAATGACCCCACAACGTGCTTCAACGTGGTGGACTTTATGACCCAATATTATTTTATTTGGCATTTTACCCGAAAAGAAAATTGTATGCTTTCACAATTTGAACTTCAATCAAAATCACCATTTTCTTCGGTTACCCTCCCATAAAAGTAACGACCAACTACGCAAATGTACTAATATTTCTAAATTTAGAACAAAAAAATATATTACGAGAAATGTATATATAGTTACTAATTGCATGGAATTTGAAAAAAAAAACATGAATTTGTATTTTAATTGTCAATTTCATGAAGTTGTAAATTAACCTGATTACCGATCCATAAACTTTTTGGTTAAAAATTGGTTTGGTTGAAATTATATATGGAAGAAGCGCGAAAGAAAAAATGATTAGAAGTCAATTATTGAATTGAATGGATGAGAATGGATGAAGGTAAGATATAATGGTAGCGAGTGGGGTCCAAATAACTCATTATTTATAAGTGCATTTATCACCATTATTATAATTTCTTTTCCTTTCTTTATTTTGAATAGTTTTGATTGAAGATATGAATATTATAGAGGCGCAGTAGAATATGTTGACAAATAATTTAGAAGGGGAAGAGAAAGTAAAAGGATAAGGAAGAAATTAAAAAGGGTGTTAGTAGTTGATGTTGAAGAGTGGGAGAAGCAAGGTAGGTAAACATCTATCAAATGATGCAAGGTGACACGGTGTAAAAAGTAATGCTGCATATAATGGATTATATTATAAGGTTATATAATTTATGCGTACATGTTAGCTGGTTTGTTTCGTATTGTGGATGGAGGCTATTGTGCGCTGTAAATACGAAACAGAAAAGGTTTGAATAGATTTGTTTTATTTTATCTTTGAAGCACCTGCATTATGCTTCCATAATGTGCATGCATATGCAACATTAATTGATGATGGTAAGGAATCTACTAAAGTTTCGTGGGAGCCAAAAAGAAGACATAAATGAGAAGAATATAAATGAAGGGAGGCCATAGAAAAGAAGTAGGATCAAATAAGTTTTCATTTGATAAAAAATGAAAAAAAAATGAAAAAATACGTTATACTCTATAGGAGGAGAGATTGGAGAGTTGCATGGTGGCTGAGGTGAACGTGGAGGGCATGTGGCGTGAATGCCCCCTGCAAATTATGTCTTCCATGTGGTTTAACCTTCTACTTTATTTCCCTTTCTTAATCATCTTCTCACATATTCTCCCAAATGATGAACATGTAAATCTTAATAAAATCTCCAAGGAGTCACGCGTTGGATCAATTCTTCATCCAATCGCATTCCTAACTCATTATATTATTATACAAAACTATAATCATCGGGGTCGGTTATCTTTCCGTGAAGGAAATCTTACGATTGTGACCCATTAACCAAGGATTACATAAACAATTCCATTATTTTCATTTATCTCATCTCATCTCATCCTCCTCCTTTCGGAGCCATTCTCCATCTCTATTTTATAAAATAAACAATCTGTTTCATCACTTCCTCAACTTAATCATTAAATCATCGGATCGCTGCCTCATATACATCTTCAATTAACATAATTATTTAACTACACTTTTAACTTGGTCTTAATTACTTTATAACATTATTATTTATTAACTAACAAAAATTAATAAGATAAATGGTATTTTGATTACAAAATTCATAACATGAGGCAAAAAAATCTCAAAATTATTGTACAAAAGAAACAAAATATTTTCTTTTTAATTATGTATTGTTAATATATTACAAACCATAAATTATAAATCATCATTAATTATTTATTACAAAAAAAAATTTAAACTAAAATAGTTCTAATCTAAACTCATTTAAAACTCGCTCATCAGTTATGAAAGTAAGATAGAAAATGACGAGATAACGACATCTTAAGAAGTGTTTAATATGTTTTTTACTTTAAAAAATATTTTATTTTATTTTATTTTATTTTACTTAACATTTAAGCCAAAAAAAAAATATTGACCATCCTAAATGATTACTGTTCTCTTTTCTTTTTATCCATATACTGATATCCTTAGTTGTTTGTTTTTTAATCTAATTTTAAAATTAATATTAATATTTATAAAAAATTAATGTAAATTTGAAGTAAAACGTATATCGGCTAAATAATTATTTGTCATAATTAATATTTTTGAACCATTTTTTTGTTATGTAAAAGATACGCATTTATCCTTTGCAACATAGGAACAACTATAATTAGGCATGGCTACTGCGGGCGTGGGCGGGTTTTGCTTCCCGATCTCCGTCCCCGACTTTTTTAATCATCCCCGTCCTCACTCTCATTCTCGTCGGGTTATAAATTAAGTCTTCATCCTCGTCTCACTGGGTTTCGGGTTCCGCCGTCCCCGATCTATATTATTTTTAAAATAATAATTATATTTATAATAAATTAATTTTACTATCTATTTTTTATATATAAATAAATATTTATAATTTATAATTATTATTAATTAAATATATATTTTAATTTATTATATTTATATTAAAATATGTATGTAAAAGAAATATTTAATCATTTTTTATTTATAACATTATTATTATTATTATTATTATTAGTATAATATCTGTATTCAAATATTTGAATACTTATAACATTATTATTATAATACGTATTCAAACATTTGATTATATATATAAGTTAATTCATTTTTAAGTTGTCATTTAAAAATATGAAATATATAGTTTATAAGGAAATATTTAATAAGTTAATTATTATTCAATTAGTTCAAAGTAATAAAAGTTTAAATTATCAATTCCTTTAATATTTTAAAATACAATTAGTTTATTAAGATAAAATTTGATATATGATAAATAAGAATAATAAAATTAAAAAATGACATAATAAAACCTAATAAATATAAATTATAAATAAAATAATATTAGTTACTACTAAGATTTATGTAAAATATTTAGAAAAAGATAAAAAATAAAAAAATTAACTTTGTGTTCATCAAATTGATTGAAAAGATTGAAAAAAAAAACAAATTGATGGGAGAGATTAAGGAAATATGAAAAACTGAAAGGTAAAAGAGAGAATAATGTAATAAATTAATTGATATAAAAGATTAAAAAAGACAAAAAAATTAAAAAATATGTAGAAGAAAAATAAAAATTGGTGAAATATAAAAAAATTATCCTTATATGTAATAGAAAAAGAAAAGAAAATATTTTTAAAATATTAATATTTTAAAATTTAAATTTAAATATAAAGTCGGGCGGGACGGGGCCGGAGTCGGGGTGGGGATTGCGTTACCCATCTCGCCCCGCCCCTGCCCCCGGTCACCTCGGATTTTTCCCGTCAAACTCGGGATGGGGACGGGTTTAATTATCATCCCTATACTAGTGAACATTACGTCTACTATTATTTATTCTATATAAATTTAAATAATTAAACTCGTGGATATTAAGTTATTTGATGAGATCAGGTATGAAGTAATTAAAAACGTCACGGTTAAGTTAAATTAATATTAATATTGTATAGAAAGCCACAAATCCGATAATTATACTTTAACTATTAATTAATATAAAATCTTAGTTACCTTCAGACCCAAGGCGTCGTCAAGGCTGGCAAGTATCAATGTTCAATATTTAGTGTTAAATATATTTTAATTTATCATCAACAAAGTTTTTGTTAATGTTATCTATTTAGACAGAATCTAAACAAATATATATATATATATATATATATATATATATATATATATAATTAAATGTTAGATAAAAAAGGGTAAAAATATAATTACAATTAATAATTAACATTGTGTTGAACTTTAAAAATAAAACAAAAATAGAAAATCCGAGAATTACAAAAACAGGAGTGTGTGAAAAATTGTTATATAGTCATTATAAAGTTGAAAAAAAAAATGCATAAAAAGGATAGAGTACCGGTACGTTGGAGTTTTAATTAATATAAAATAATGAGGATTGAAATTGTTACGTTGACTACGAATGAGTAGAAGCATGGAATAAATTTCCTTAAATTCATTGACGATTCCCAAGATACATGACAAAAGACATTTAATTGCGTATTAAATCTGATATAATGGGAATAAAGGATGAGTTATGTTGCTTAAAGTTGAGTGATGCAACATAATAGCTTCAGTTATGGGAACGCTATCACTCAGCTACATTATTAAAGCTATGTATGACTGCAAAGTAGAAGTGTGTTAGAAAAATGGGAGAGATCATTTTTCAAATAAGGTGGGTACACTGTAATCATCAATACAAATAAAAGACACGAAATAGCGCAGGTCGTTTAATACCAGTGAGAAAAACGAAAAATAAAGTATGAGATAGTTGAATAGCAAAAGTGTAATAAAAGAATAAAGTAGGTGATATATATGGTGCACATGCATGTTGCTCGCGCCCACCAAAAACACTGTAATAAACAGATGAATATAATGCAGGCATGTAGAAATTTATTTATTTGTGCTTGTATGGACGAATAACCTGGTTTAGCATGAGAAAATTAATTGGTGCTACGTAGTGGGATAGCATAACTTTTTGTAGCAAGTTAGTGTTTACATAATTTAAGCACCTCAATGCTAATTCATGTTGCTATTTTGTTGGTTGAAGGGCACTTGTGTGGAATAATTGAAGGAGCCATGTTACTGTTTGGTTTCCATTTGGAGCCAAACCATGGGTAGGTCATAGCTACCACCCTTCCACATCATCAAACCAAGGGTAATTTCATGCCAACTTCAACCAGTAACTTTCACTTACCTTAGTTTGCAGGGCTGGGCTAGGGTTAGGGTTAGGGCTACCACCCCACACACACATTCACTCACACAGATACGCAATTTATTGCTTCTTAATCTCCTGAAACCAACAGAAAATGACGTTTTCCATCTTTCCTCTCATCTCTATTTTCCATCTCCATATATTTATTCAAATCAACAATAACTTTGGAAAAATAAGGGTTACTCTGAGTTTCATTCTATATACTAATGAGAGAGTTTGCGTAAATTCAAGTTACATTAACTATAGCTATTTGGATTGGTAAAAGTGATGAATTACTTATTTCCCTTCATCAAAACAAATTGGACTTAAAATTTTAACTCTTCAAAATACTGAAAACTCAAAGGGAAAGAATATTTACCTATCTCCATGTCTACCAAATTCTAAAAAAGTAAAAATATTTGACTCCATGTGTTATTACTCGCTAATTAAACCATGTTATGTAAAGTTGCACGTGAAAAAACTAAGAATTATTTTATTAAATTAAACCTCCCTTGTAATACAAAGTTTTCTTTAATGTGGCACCAATATTATCTTTCCATTTTTTTTTTAAATATAACATGCACTTGGACACCATTTTTTTCATTATGTTATCATTAATTAGTAATATACATTGTTTCATTGCGCGAAATTGTTCTCGCTTAACCAACCACCTCTATTTTATATTAATTGGCAAACTATAATATATATAAAATGGAACGTCAAAAGAGAAAAGATATTAAAAATATGGAATTTCGTTTGACATATTTTAACTTCAAATAAAAATTGTCGTATTATTTTTTATTTTTAAATTTGATCTCACTATTATTTTTAGTATTAATTTATTTGATTTTGAAAAAGAATAATAAACAAAAAATCACTTCTGATAAGTTACGCAATTGAAAAGTATGATGTGAAACTAAATTCAAATAAAATCATAAACTAGTAAAAAAATAATAATTAGCCTCCAACTTTTACATAATTCTACATACACAAACAAGTTAATATAAAAATATTATATAATTGGTAAAAATATTTTATTTAACGTCATAATTTTCTTATACAAAAATGAATTAGTAGTTTAAAAAATATATAAATTCTTTTTAGTTTAAAATCTTAATTAATGTGACATTTATCATAATAAAGTTTCAGTTAAAACTAAAATAACTAAGAACTCTTTATTTTATTTCCATGGACAAAGTTAATATTTTGACTTTCAAAATAGTAAAATACTTATATAAATCCCTAATCCAGATTAAGATATCGAAATTCTATATTTTATTTCCCACACAATAAAATAGAATTTTGGGTCAATCGTTATATTCAAAATACTAATCATTTTTAAATTTATATTTGACTTTATATAAATCATTATATAAATTATAAAAAATAAACATATATATATATATATATATATATATATAAAAATTC